CAGTCCTCATGTCTATCAGACTGTTAAAGCATCCCAACTGTATTTGAGCAGTGATTGTTCCTGGGCCCGTTTCCCACTACTCTTTCTGAGGTCAGTGTAAAACCACAAGTAACTCATTGGGTTCGTTGGAAAAATACTTAATTTGTGGTGGCATCACTAAAGACACTGTTCACTGTGACGTGGAGGGTTAATTATTTAATATTACATCATATGTCATTTGTGATCCAGGCAATAGAACGGTTAGGATAAGTCTGAAATGACTCCTGGCAATGTATAAAATAAAACTTCATATAAAGTGCCAAAACACATAGCGCGTATGTGTGTGTGTGTGTGTGTGTGTGCGTGTGTGTGTGTGTGTGTGTACAGTAAATGCGTCTGGGTCCACATGTCACCAACTCTAATTCACTGACTAAGTTTTGGAGGTCAGGCTAAAAGGCTTGGGTTAAAGTTAATGACACAAATCTGACTCCCTTATGATACGCTATCTGCCCTGGATTATAGATTTGTCCTTCCCCCAGTTTTGCCAAATTGAAGAGATTAATTGAGGCCTCTTGCTTGGTTTTATCCCAGGGGCTGAATGATTGGCCTCCTCTGGATAAGGTCATTCTGGCTTTGGCAGGCCAAGCCGCCACGCTCCTTAACAGCTCCACTCTGTCTTTCTACTGATGAAAGACAACATCTTAAACATTTGACACTTAGAGTAGTTGTTATTTTAACGACATGGAAAGCATTCAAGAAAATGTTACTCTCCATCTCCTAATCTGATTTTCTGATTGGCTGCAAACATATTGCCACTTCTGGAGAGAAATAAATGCAGGTGTGTGGTGGTCAAATAAAGCAGCATTGTTCCTGCAGAAACTGAAAAGTCTCCTTTGTGCTTGTGTTGATCTCTTTGAGCCATTTGTCCCATTTAAAGGGCTACTCCAGTGATTTAGCATTGCACTTCCATAAAACTGTAGGACTCATTATTTATACTGTATGTAAAAACACCATTTAAATATAAGGTCAAAATTGTTGCAGGAAAGGCTATAATAACACCTATAGCCCATAGTAAGATTCAACACAATACAACTCAGTGCAAGGTCACTAGGGTTGTTTTTTAGACTTAAAAACGCCCCCCTGAGCTGCATTAGATATTATATAACTGTTTTCACAAGCTGTGAAGTACTCCTCATAACCAGTAAACTGAACTTCATGTGCTACCTAATTAACATGCAGTCTATTGCCAAATTAAGCAGTTGTTGCTTGTTAATAAAGTAAACTATGAAGTTATCATTTTCATTTGTTGAGTCGTACCATGATCACCTGTCAGGCCCTAACATGGTTCCTTTATGATTTTGCATTTCATGGAGCCAAATTACAGATTGTGAACTGTTTACTAAATGTCTTGCTGGGGAATTACCTCACACGCTCTGCCCCCAACATTACAGCAGGGCTTGTTTCATGTTCAAACAGATTAAATTAGTACTGATGTCCATGTTTGAGCCCAGTTCAGAGTGGATGCCCAGAATTTGCAATTAATGAAGGATTACAGGCTGCTAGCAGATCAAAACACAGCCATTCATACCGTTTCTCCATATTTCAGAGGATTAAGTGCTTAGCAGCTGAGACAGTGACCTTTGCTTTATGTTGCCTGTGGCAAACATGTAGCCTAGAATGGATGAGCCTAAAATGAGTATTTCTGTTTATTGTATACGGGACTTTTCAAAAAATATATTGCACAGCTATTGCTTTTAATGCTTCCATAGTGGGCACCCTCCCCTCATCTCCACACACACGGTCACGCACACACAGACACACACACACACACACACACAGACAGACAGACAGACACAGTGCGGTAGCTTTAAGAGGGGAGGCGTGGTGCTGCTGTTTTGACCGACTTGTCAGTCCTTTCACTGTGCACAATCATTCAGCTGAATGAACAGCCTTGCACAGCCTACACAGGGCATCGGCACTCTATTTATTCAGCCTAGTGTGGGTCATATTTACCTGGTGACAGCGACAAGGGATTAATATCATCTAGCAATAACTGTGTCTCCGCAACGAAGCTGGACGGTAAGTTTACCATTTCTCTGCAAATCAATCTGAATTGAGCGCTGCCCTGTGATTGTGCGCACACGGTTCCCTCTCCAGCAACCATACTGTAGAAGCTGAGGGAGCCTTCGGCTGGAAATAATTATACACAGAGGTCTAGATACAGGAAATGGGCATGATGGAAGGACTGTTGGCGTCAGCTGCCTTGGATAATTGAGCATGTTTAAAATAAGATTTAAGCACCACTAGTTAGGTTTAAAACGAAAACGTGTGTTGTCAGGCTGCTGTTTCCCCCTAAACCTGCCAGTCCACATTTAGTAGGTACCTGGTTTGAAGTCCGTCAATCCGGGGAAAGCATTAATACAGAGACAGCTGATTGACTTAATGTTTCCTCTCATGCATAGCACGTTATATCGCCATTATATGCAGATTGATCAATCTAGATGCAGTTATGCGCATGTCAGTGTGCCTCCATTCATTATCTTTGTAGATTTGACATTTGATGACAAGAATATGATCGTTCTCCGTCATTAGTACCAGTGGGTGCTGTAGTGATGGAGTGCATTGAACTTTCCTGTGATGTCCTCGTTATTAGTCGGCTTTAGTGTAGGCCCACTGGACCAAACGGACAGACGTCCCTGTGCCCGTCCAAAGAGGGCGCTGCGTCCCCTCAGCTGTCGGTGCTTCCTTTACCCACACTGCAAAAAGGGGGAAAGCTGGGGAAATGATCTGTAGTGAGACATGCGAGTCTCACTATTAGGTTTTATTTAAATTCAGCAAGAAAGTATTTCTTGGTCAACTACCCCCTGCTTTTTCTTTTTTTCTCCAAAAGAAAATGAAATGCTAAGATGTTGATACAAGGCAGTCTGAGGAGCCTTAATACATTTAGACTGCATTTGTTTAAAAATATCTCAAATATGTGATAAAATGGTCATGACAAGCGGAATTACCACTTTGGGAGACATTTTAGTGTTTGCAGAAAAATATGACATGCTCTTTATCAGGATAAATTCCATGTCATGATTGATAGGCTATTTGTTGCAGTGGATGGAAATTTCTGTTCTCTTGAGCTAAAATTGGCTACAGCAGCATTTCAGGGCCTGTTTTACATCCAGACTTCAGCCCGCCAGTATATTTCTCTCTGTTATAGAAAACAGGTGTCTGCACAACTTGGCTGTCTAAATATGAGACATGAATCTGGAATGTGCTGTTTGATATAGGCTGAGCTTCTTACATAGATTCTCTCATATTACACTGTAGTTTCTAAACTTGATTTGTTCCAAACAAGATGCAGCATTCTGCATTTTTCATCAGGAGCATTTAGGCAAATGCTTGCACTCTTAAAGCCCACACTGCTAGTCAGTTTATAGGGAAGGCAAGTTGATAGGAAGGCATCAAGAGCTGTTTAATCTAACAGAACATCTGGCAGTGATGCGTGCATATGGCCTCTTGGACAGTTGTTGAGGCTTTACAAGCAAAACATCATGCTAAGCAGAAAACCATTCCCTCCTCATCACTTTGCCTCAGGAGTACTTAGCATTCCTTCTACTGGATCAAGAGTGTGCTGCTTGGGATGGTCAAGTAAAGCCCCAGTGATCCTTAACTGTTTGGCCGTAGTTCACAGAAAGAAGACAAAAAATAAAATAACCCGCTGGTAGTAAGTGGCTTGTGGGATTTGCCCATGTAAGGTTGCTGAAGGAAGTTTTAACAGTGTGTTATACATGTACATTACAGGCAGCAGTAGACTGCCTATTGAAACTCGCAGACTTGTGTTAATGGATCTCAGCGATGGATGGATTTATTGAAAAGCCCTGCACCGTAGACAGCTGTATATTTCTAAGTAGAGTGCAGTCCACAGTGAGCTTTTAATATGCTTTAAGCATTTTCACAGATTTAGCTTCAAGCATATAAATTCCTACATATGAAACGGGAATATTTGTGTGTTTGCTCTCACGTCTGACCAGAGCAGCTGTTCCAACAATTTGGCTTAAGTATTTTTAGGTCCACTGTTTTGATTAAAGTGCATAATCATTGTCCTGCTACCTGTGTGTTTTCAGAGGAGAGGGAGGGAAGAAAAATAGGTTTGACATCCAAGAGTAACAAGGCCCCTGGGCTGAGGTGTCTGCTTCTGGCTGTGGCCCTGCTGACTGAGCAGAAGGTGTAGAGCTTCTGGTTGTTTGTGTGTGTTCCTGTGGGCAGAAGGATGACTGCAAGGGTGGCTGTGTGGGGGCTGCCAGGCATCGGAGTGGCCACGCATGGTTTTTGACTCCAGTCTAAACTCTTTTGCCACTGCAAGCAGTGGCCAGTGGGGGAAAGACAGAGCCATTGTTCCTGATCAGCCAGTGAGGCAGAGGTTTACTCACTTCTACCAAGGTCTGATGTTTTGGTTGGCAATTGCTTTTGTCTTTTGGAGACATAAGGTGAGAAGCTGGTGTGGCAGGCTGGAGGTGTGAGCTTGGTGCAGGAAGGGCATGTTGCTCAAATCTTATGCCTCTTTTGTGCAGACATAATTGTGAGTTCAAGCAATTCACTGATTTTTTTTTTTTTGTACAGTATGATGTTTTTCAGAGACACTCTGGATTTAAAGATACTGTGTATGTGGTCCAAATGTCAGACTTCTAATAAACAGTATGCGATGGATACTGGTGATCACATTATCTGGATAAATTGATATCCCCATATGCAGCACTTGCACCCTTTACCAAATAATATTTCAAGTCAATGGCTTTCTCCTTGCCTCGCCTATTAAAACATGCATCCTAAATGTTTGCCAGGTGCTGGCTCTTCTTATCTCCTTTATCCTTAACTCATCAGTCACACACAAAGCTTCTACAGCACATGCATATAGCTTCCTGCCAGTCTCTGTTCCAGCAGTCTTACTGTATCTGTGTGGAGTTTCTAGTGCGGAACGGAGTCTGGGATTAATTAGCTCTGAGGATATAATCCTAAACCAGCATTGCGTCTATTAAGTGCCTCCCCCTTCCTCTTTTCCTCACTTACAAGTAGTTACCTTGCCACTTGCACTTTATTAGCACCTTCATTTATGATTACATAAAAAAAAACTGGTTTGGTTACGGATTTGTTTTTGCAGCACAAGGCAACCACATTTTTATGCCAGAAATTGCACTTGCATAACCTGCATATAGAGTGCCAAATCTCTGAGAATAAATGGGCCGCCCATGTAATGCAACATGAGCACTACATTTACTGCTTGTTGTCAGACTCTGAAATCTACAGTAAGACAAATTGTGCATGTGCACAGAAGCACCCAAAAAGCTGGAAAAGATGGTTGGTGCACATCCAGTGTCTTCACTGTAATGCTCAGACAGTGTGAACTTGGATCGCAAAGCATGATTTATATAGTTTAATAACCTTTCTATCGTTTTGGTAGATTAAACAAGGAATGGAATGTTTTAAACTTTGGACAGTAAAGCAGATAAATGTGCCTGAAACTTCATCTGATGCGCCCTTTCAGCCTCATTCTGTCTGGAAGGTTCCTAGAGAGTATGCTTCAAACTGATGCTTTTAACTAGCATGTTGGATTAATTGGACATTTATTTGAGATGCACTTGAAATATCTCAGATGTTTCCTCTGTCGACTAAAGATATAAAATGACAGTTTATTGAGTTTTTCTTGTACATCACTGAAGCTCCTGATGTCAGCTTTTGTAGAACTGGCACTGGCCACAGGGGCTCAGTGTGCAGGGCTTGCTGTTTGGTGGCTGCAACAGGCCCTGATCTGTTTCTCCCATACAGTAGTGAAGCTGTTCTCTGCTGGGAAGGAACTGTAGCGTGGCCGGAATGCCTACGTATGCTAGAAACCATTGGCATCAGATCAGCATAGGGGTTTACCCAGCTGTGAATCTGTCTATGATATGATCTTTATGTACATGCACTGTCACCTCATGCTAATATTCTGTATCCCAGATTTACTTTCTCTTTCTCTTCTTTGCACTACTCTTGCATCTGTGCCTACACAGAAGGAGAAGCATGTTAGCAGATAACAGCAGCTCTGGAGCTTCCTGTGCCTACAAAGGAAGCATTCAGGCACAGTACCTGCAGGTCACCTATGATTTGGACTATTTACAACCCAGTTCACAATCAGTGTAGATATGTATGACAAATGAAGGGAAATAAACATCCCTAAAATATGCTCCAAGTTGTGTTTATGAGCATGTAACATGAGTGAAACACAAGCCATGACCTTTGTATACAGCTGATGAAAGTTGACGTGTAGCTGTTCAGTCAGACAAGCATGAGACTGACGACTTAAAAATGTGGGTAGCATTCTTTCTATGTACAGTTATTGTGCTGTGTGTGTGTGTGTGACGTCGTGCAGCTATGAATCCATTTGCCCTAATTGCTTGGAAAACCAGCATTCATGGGTCCTGTGTCATACCTCTTCCTTGAAGGAGAAAAACTCTTTTCCCATCGCATCTATTAAACAAAATAGTGCATCTCATTTTGCACCACCCTTCCTTTTCCACTTTCCTCCTCCTCCATCTCTCCCTATAGTCTTGATTTCCTTTGTCTCACCACAAACACCAAGTCACTCTGAATGTAAAAAAGCGTTAAGCAATCATGTGGTTAATTAAAATCTCATAAACCCCATAAATGTCATTATAGAAAAGACACATCAAATTCTGTACTTGCGGTTCTGCACAATGTGTTATTGTTAGCTAGGCTTTTGTGCAGTCACGTCATGGTAGTGTTGTTGGAAACAGTAGCTTGCTGCCTTGACTACCTGATTAGACTTGCATGTTTCCATAGTAAATGCATTCAGTGTGCATGATGGCCAGATGATTGGTTCTTTAATATCACACAGGGGGCACGTGTTCATGTAAGATTTCCTCTTTAATGTCTTGAAGAATTATTTCTCCATCACTGGGAATAATTTAGCACTTGAAGTAATGCAGGTTTGAGAATATCCTAATATGTATTCTCTTCCAGACAGGTCTCTCCCCTCTTTTCCCCAACCTTCACTCCCCAGACATCTCACTCAATGCACTGGTTGTTTCGGT